GAGCTCTGGGATTAAAGGCATTCACCACCACCAACAGGCAAGTTACAGTTCTTAATATTGCTGAAATTATAGTAGGATTTGATGTTTTCGAAACAAGAAACTTTTTTTACAATAAAAAGAACCACCCCCTTCTCTCACCCGTGTGGGGGTGTGTGTGGGGGGGTCTCAACAGATCTCATTCCGTAGCCCCCAGGCTGGCCTCAAACTCATGCCCATCCTCCTGCCTCACCCTCCTGAGTGCTGAAATTACAGGTGTGACCCATAATACCTGGTAAAGCAGCCTAATTCTTTAAAATTACTTGCTATAACTTTCAACAGACAGATGACATAGAAACAACAAAGAAAATAAACACCAAAGAAAATTAGTGGTTATCTGAACTAAAACACAGTATCTCAAAGTGATCCATCTGATCTATATTCTGGGTAGAAGCTCATTAAAGAAATTAGAACTTGTTGAAGACAGGTTCTGCATGGCACTCACAGAAAACTTACAGATTCCTTAGAAGTCAAAATTATAAACTTTACTAGTCAAGGTATAAATATAAAACTTTTTACAATAAGGATATAGTTTTACGTGGAAAAACACAAACTCACTTGGTAATTTTTAATAGAAAACAGAATGTTAAATTGCAGGTATACTAAGCTACACTCACTAGGAATGAAAATTAAATAACTACTTTCACAATATCATTGGACTACATTATTTCTTATTTTTTGACTTATTCATTTTTGTTTTATGTATATGAGTGATTTGCCTATACAGTATGTTTGTGCACCAGGTGTGTGTATGGTGTCTTCAGAAGCCAGAAGAGGGGGTTGGATCCCTTGAAGCTGGAATTACAGATGGTTGTGAGCCACCATGTCAGTGCTGGAAATTGAACCTGGGACCTGTGGAAGAGCAACTAGTGCTCTAAACCTCTGAGCCAGCTCAGTCATCTGAACTCCCATGATTTCAAAAATGTGAAAGGACAGTTTTTTAAAATAATTCAAAAAATGAAATCTTAAGAGAAAAAAGGTCAGGGATGACTTAATTACATAGTGATTGAATTAAAATTCTCGGTTCAGTATTTGCAAATTTTCATTAGCATATATTAAAGTTGAGCTTCTTAATGACACTGTTTTCCTTTGAGGATTTTCCATTATCATCACTATCATTACCGTTTTGGTTTTCTGAGACAAGATCTCTTTATGTAGCCCTGGTTGTCCTGGTGCCCTCTCTCTAACTCACAGAGATACATTTGCCTTTGAGAGCAGGGAACAAAAGTTTGGCCACCACACCTGGCCTCATGTAATCTTTTAAAACCACATTTTAACCCTATTCTACAGCTGAAAAAAAAAAAAAACAAACAAAACCCAAGGACCCAAGAAGCTATATTCAGATGCATTCGTTTATACTTAAAGACAAAGCCTTCCACTAGAATGCTGCTTTAAGGTAGTTACTGTAGGCCTTGACCATTCGCGGTAAATTAGGTGCTCTAGTTAACAATCAAGAAGGGAATGTTTCCCAGTGAGTGATATACATACATTATGTACATGTTCGTGTGGGGTGCAGATTTCGCTACAGCGGTGGTTTCTAATATTTAGGAGCAATAATACAACTGACTCAATCCACCAAAGGGCTCACTCCAGGAACTTCATAAACATAACAGGAGAAAGACAGAAACCTCTTCTCCTTACAACTCTCAAAGGAAACTGTCAACATTTGTGTAACAGTCACCGACTTAAACCTGGCTGGCGGAACGAAAAAGGAGGCGTAGGACCCGGGGAATCGAGAAACGGGTCTGATAGGACCAAGGAGTGCTCGCTGCGTTTGCCCCTGACGCCGTCTGAAGCATACCTCCTTGACAGGTGGGAATTTCTTCTTGCATTCTAGTGACAAGGCCCGCAAGTCGCTCTGCATATTCTCCAGTAGCTTCTTCACAGCCTCGGGGCTGTTGGTGCCGGACA